GTGGCACCTGTTACTACTAGCGTGGCACCTGTTACTACTAGCGTGGCACTTGTTTCTACTAGCGTGGCACTTGTTTCTACTAGCTTCTTGTTACACACACAAACACAATCAGACGGCGAATCATCCGTATTCGATGAAAATCCAGAAGGCTTCGGTCAGTATGTGCAGTTGAGTTTCTCAATGCTGTCCATCCTCTTAATGGGCTGCTCACCGCAAGCCTTAGCCTCAAAGGGTTCCAAAGTGCTCAACTGTCTCAAAGGCACCTTGAGTCCTGCAGGGGTGTTGGTGGGACCGATCTTCTGTCCTTTGGAGTCATGCTATCCATCCCAGTTTAAGCCAAAATCATCCAAAATCCAACAAATTAACAAAATGGTTTTCGAGCGACCGTTTTGTTGGCATTGGCTCAATGTGGTTTATCCAGCACGACCCATCTCCTACAGTAATTACTTGTGCACACCATGGATTATAGATCCCCTTTTGAACAACATGTTCCCCATGCCTGGTGCGTCTCCTTTCAGCTCCACCACATTGGCCTCCTCCTCTTCAAGTGCTATCAGGCGCACGCGTCGCACGTTGCCATGACCATGCAGCCGCAGCACAGCGCCTTCGGTGAAGATGGACATCAGCCGTCTGGCGATCTGAAGATTGCAAAGGAAAACAGCCTTGGGCTGGCAGATATTTGGAAAGTGTAGCAATATGCATGAGTACGCTTCCTCCTGTCAAGTCGATTGTACAAAGAATAGAGGTTCAACCAGTTTTGAAAGGTTCAAGGTGATTGTGGGCCACAATGAGCTAAACATAATCTGCATATGAAACTGATTGAGTTTAGTGAATGGAGCTTGAGCCACGGCATCGGAAACGATCGGATGCCCCAGGAAACAAGGACGTGGGACCCCATTTTCAGGAGAATCACTGCACTATTTAACTAAATCGGAAGGGTCTTTCCGTCCGTGTCAGTCAAAAAATGTTTAAAGGATCAAGAGGCTTTCTGCCCAGGCGAGCTCTTTTGCAGTGGAAACATGTTTCGCCATTGGTGTTTCCATTCTGGTTTGCCGCTTCTTTGCCTGACCTGTTATCAAATCTAGGTCCATAGCGAGTCAGCAGTGCAAAGATGACTCTCCCCACCTTCAAGATCTCTCCATCTTCCCACTGACCACCGCAAAACTGTAAGTCCACGACCTGTCCCACAGTGATGGTCTCATGTGCCTTGGGGTACCTCAGAAGTCACAGCAGGTCCAGTGACACTCGGTGACGCTCTTGCAGGAGGATGTGGGGTTCTGAACTTGTGTTTGGCAAAAAAGGACTTAGGATGTTCAACGTGAAACTATTATGTTCAGGCCAATTTTGTGCAGTGGGGGAAAGCGATGGCATGTTCTGTTCGTACATGCCCTCCTGCGCTCGGAGCACGAGACACCAACTGGTGGAGTATCCTTGACTGCAAAGACCAGCTCAGCCTTTGCCTGGCAGTGCCCCCACAGTGTTTGAACGCAGTGAGTTGAGACATGGCGCGAGAGGGAGGTGTGAAAAAGCTATGCTGGGCTTGAAAGATCAGTTGACAAACACCAAATTCAACAAGATTCAACAAGGATAGTCGTCGACCTTTAGGCTACTCAAATGGGCGACCATCAGGGCTCTTGGCGGTAGGCGAGCCCCTCGAAGCGGCCAGCATAAAACATCATACATCAATGCTCTGCAAGTAGCACACCACTGCCCTAAACTCCGTGATTCTACAACAGTAGCGCGCTCCTCCACAACAGAAGTGTATGAAAGAGGGTTCTCCTAATATCACTCTCTACAGAGTAGTGTCTGCTGGGTAGCCTTCAGTTCGTTCGTGCTCGGAGACCTTACAGTGTGTATGTATATATTGGTAAGTATATATATGTACAGTATATACAAGTGCTGGGGTCAAATGACTTAGGGAAAGTGGGGTGAGAGGACACACTCCCACCAAGGGCTGTCTCATGTGGACGTGTAAAAACACAAGTCTTCAGAGGCAATTCATCATGACATAGGCCTCTAAGACCTGCTCATCATGATGTTCCTTTTGGGGGGGAGTGCAAAGCACCTGACATAGGAAAAACCCTCTGTTCGTTCTCAAGCTCGTTCTCAAAAGAAGTTCCTAGGTCATGATTGTTTGGTCTTCTTGGAGATGCCTGGAGATGACAAAGTGTTGGGTCACCGCAACATGACTTATTATGAAGACAGTTGGAGACTATCTCTGACATCACTTGTTCTGGTGTGCTTTGCTAGTCTGTGCTTCATGCTATAGGAGTTATGGTCCATAGTCATGCAGCAGTCATGCATCTCCACATGACAGTGATTTTGGTGTACTTCCAAGGGTTGCCTTGTGATTGTCCAGTTTTACAGATATTATATACTATGACTCAGACGATTTTCATGAGAATCCCACCTCACCAGCATCATTCTTGCCCGTAACGGTGTACGTGGCCTCCAGACAGGTGTGATGTTGCACGCTCAAAGGTCAGTCCAATGTTCACAGGTTGCATTGCTTTTGCAAAGAATGTTCACATCGTGTCACCATTTAAGATGGAGAAGGGCCTCTAATTCAAAATGAATGAACTCTTCTGCTCGGGATGGATGATTTGCTTTGTTGATCAACTAGGAGACTGTTTTTGGTTGAAGAACCGGCCCCCGACAATCAGCTCAAACTGCAAGCATTCGGCAAAAACTAGTATTCCCTGCATGCATGTTGACAGCTCTACACACCATTGAGAGGTGAGAAACTTCCGATAAACGGACATAGGGAACTCGTGATTAGAGCCCAGTTGGCTTTCTTGGCTCAATCAAACTCCCTCATCACCCTCATCCCCGTGCCCCTTCCTCTCAGCCCGCCTCATCCACTAATTTCCCTGGTTGGAGAGTCCCAGAGATCGCCCTAGGGCACAATGACGAGACCCGGTCACTCGATCGAGGGACATGCTCAAGCTGTCGAGCTTTCACTTTCCAGATATCTGTTCACCTCTTGTCACCTCAGCCTGGGTCTTGACAATAGATAGGGTGGAAGCAAGCAAAAGCACAGAAGCCAACCACAGACTCACCTACAAAAAAGAGTGCTACAGGGTGGTAGCTGAGTGGCAAATAGAAGTTTAAAGAAAGATGTAACAATGCAGGACTGGGTTCAGGACTCGTTTTGCCCGTGCCTTTGAATGATATGATATCTTTTTGGGAAAAGCTCTCGCGATGAGCAAACTAAGTTCAGCACCCAGTGGAGGCGTCCAACTCCAAGCCCTGCAAATGCAGAAGTGCTCCGTCCCAACAGAAATCCTCAATGACAATTGGAAACCTCTATAAAGAATCAAAGACCCTCGAATCAAGCAGAAACAGGCAGAAACCATCCCAGCTTGTTGTTTGGTTCTACTCACCGAGAAATGCAGCAACGTCCAGGCAGTGTATCCTTGTCAACTGGCCTCTGGCAGGGATGGGGAGACCTCGAAGCAGTGCACCTGACACTAGCCCATCCAACAAAGGCTCACAATCGAATATCCCAAAGTGGGCCAGATACCGGAGACAAATCTTGGGATGGGAAAATATAGTAATACTAAAGTAACTATATACATACATATATATATATCATACAGCAGGCATGTCCTCATGTCCCCATTCTGATGGTCATCACATCCCCACTGATCAACTGCGACGCTGTATGGCCACGATTTTCCCGCTCACCAAACAATGCGATCGGAAATTCTTTGGGTTCTTTCGATGGAGAACGCAAATTTTGTGGGATCCCTCAGGGGCCTTCAATCCCGGCAAAAACATCGATACTTGATACAGTAGATCATTCAGACGAACATTGGGGGTGGCTGTGCATCTTCTTGACATTCTCATAGCAATGTTCAGTGAATGCCCATGCTCACCTTTGGAGGGACCCCACATACAGTTTTCTTCGCTCACAAAGCCTCAAGAGAAGACCAGGGCCGCGCGGCCGCAAAGCACACGGAGCGAAAGCATGCCAAAGCCATGATGTCTTAGTGTCATTTACAACTTGGTTACCAGCCTGTCATTCCATGGCATCCTTCTCTGCTGGCTGATGGCTCTAAAACTCATGAATTACTATCATTGCATTCAGCCCCAAGCTCGGTCGCATGGCTGCCTGGCCAGATCTCCTAAGGCTCGTAATCAAAAATCAAGCGCACATCTGTGGCTTCCTCAAGAAGCCACGAATCCGTCCCGAACTGTCATTGGGGCATCCTCTTCACATTAAATCCCTCGAGTCTCACACAATGGAGTTCTAGCAGCAGTTTAATACACACACCTGTCATCAACCCTTGCTCTACATAGATCTGTTCGGCGTTTCCCTGCAGGTGGGTTACACTTCCAAGACTTCCACTGAAACAAAAACAAAAGCATTAGCCGGACATGTTTGGAGTCAATAATTATTGGTTCCTTGAAGCTTGATGCGTTGTGCCACATAGACCGGAAGCTGCTTGTCGTAAGTCCCATCTACACTGTGACCACTGTACGGGGAGGACTCTGAACACCAAGAACTGCCACTACCCTTGAAAATCAAAAGGTCACTTGAAACCTACGGAGCACGTCACCCAAATTGAAAAAAGAGCATATCAAAATCCCTTCCTCAACAGTTCAAGAAGCAATGCGCACGGATGCCGGGTGTGAGCTCTTCACAACATCGCTTGCTCAAAGTCCTCACCCCGAATTGTCCACGGCAGTCGCTATAAAAAGGTGTTTTCCGACTGCCTCGAGAGATACTGCTGGCACAGGAGTCTGGGAAAATCGGTTTTCATTGGGCATTATGCTTTGGAATCCATCTTTTCATTCCTTCGCATTAGGATACCTACTTGAACAGAAAGGTCACTGGCCGATGCTGCCAGACGACTTTCTCTCTTCGTTCCTTTTGTCTTTTGCCAACTGCTCAACTCCACAGACAGCAACAGTTCAACGTAACTAATTGGAAACACAAAGTATTAGCTCCACTCAGAAGAAGTGTCGAAGCACTGTTTCCCAGCAATCTTTGTCTTCCCTTGTCGGGCTCTCTCTCTCTCTCTCTCTCCTGTAATTTGGCTTGAGCCCGCAACATGCGATAGTGATATGTGAATAGAAATGTCAAGGCCCAGGACATTTCAACTAATAAATTAATCACAAAACAACATGTTGGTGAGGGGGTGGAAGTGGGAGTGCCTAGATCGGAACATGTGCTCTGACACCTCACTGGGTGGTCCACCTCACTCAGCAGCTAGTGGCTCGCAACAAAAACAACAAATGTTTAATAAAGAACTTTCAAAGAATGCTACATACTCAGTGGGATAGACCACCAAGCAGATTCGAGCGTTGCAAAAGCACGAGGCCTCACATTAAGGAAAGCTGGCCTGAGCACCGAAACAGGGCAGAGTTCTGTCAAAGCGACACTTGAGACAGGAACTCCCTCAAGGCTTTTTGGTGGGATCTCTGCTGCTGCTAAGCTGTGCTTCCTCTCTAGAAGTCTCAGAAATCTCTTCCATATTGTGAAATGTCATCTGCCACAGGCACTGTGCAGGGGTTCCTGAAATACAAAACAAAGAGAAATCTACTATATAATGTGTCTCAACTGACCCGTGCAAAGGTCCTACGGTCTGCCAACTTTTGGAAGCTTTGCGCCAGGTTCATTTCACGAAGGAAGGGCATGGAACCATCAACATCACTTCTTACATCTGCACCCTGCTGCCAATCTAATGTGAGCCCTTCTCGCCAGTCAAAGAAGAGTTGCTCGACAACCAGCCGTTGGTGTGTTGTGGTGCGATGTGGAAGGATACTTCAGCAAGAAAATGTGCATCCCTTATGACACATGCCACTCCCAGAACCTGGCCCACAGGCCTGCAGTGTGGCATGTGTGCCCGTGAGAAACAAGGCCGGCACAAAGATGGTGAATAGAACCTCAAGCTTCAGCATCTTGTACGAAACATTTTTGCGGATGGGTGCCTCAAATGGTAGGGACCCACATAAACTGCTGGAAAAAGTAAACTCGTTGGGAGGGTCTCCCATTGTAATTAATTATATAATTCACACACATCCAGATTGTTCCAGCTGGTTGGTCGAACAAGACCAGTCGAACAGCCCCTACTCTACGAATCATGATCCATGCTTGAAGGTCATAGGTCATAGACTGGCTGAGCTCAGGTTCAGCCAGGCTTCCCTGCCGTGATCAATGTGTTCTTTCCACCGGTGAGCACCCCTTTGTTGTGCAATGTGATCATGAACAAGGCCATGCTGGACCTCATCACGGAATCGCTGCTGAGACAAGTTCAGCAAACGACACTTTTCCTTTCTGAAAGAATCGGGTAGTTGTTCAGTTCTACATTATATTATTTATGGTCTTTCACTCATAACATGTTTGGTTGCCCTGAGAAAAGTCCCAACACAGTTGTGGTTGCATAGATTCGGCTAGATTTTTTGAAGCTAGGATTGGAAACATCCGAGAAATGTTCGAACACGCGACTGGAAGAGAGACCAGGATCCAACAAGAATCCCGTTTCGGCGGGCACAGGCTAATTGCAAAAGCTCCTGGGAAGTGCAGCAACGAAACACTCTTAATGGTATTACTGAACGCCGCTGTTCGTGCCCGTCTTGGTGTGTTGTTCCAAGAAGCATAAAGAGCCCAGTGAGTCTCACGTCCGCGATGGTCCACGCCTTGCCATAGCGGTTTCTCACCAGGCCCCACGAGGCTCAACCCATGGTGAATAGCAACGGCAGCATACCAATCAGAGGTGTGCTTGCGAGTCCAAGCACAGCCTTCCTATCAAGAATCTGTCCCTGTGCTAGGCCAGGTTTATGCTGCAGCCATCGCGTTGCATGCTTCGATCCTCAACTAAGTCATGGATCGAAAACTCATTTCATGCTACACAGCGCTGACGCAGGAACGGTGACACATGCCCAAATACAACCCCAAAAGTGGTTCTATGTCCCAATTTAACCCTCCCTCGATCACGACCGATCGTTCCAAACATTCAAGTGGGGGCTTGCAAGTAATCCGACATCTCCAAGTTGAAAATCTGCCCCAAACATATCTGATTCTTTTGCATCCCCATGACCCTGAAAAGGCCAAACTCCTTTCCTCACATCTTTGGTCTGCCAATCAACATCCCCAACTTCCAATGTCCTGGTCGGGCAGGTCCACAACCACATGCTCCCAGTACCTCAGAGATGTTTGTAGTTCTCCATACGGGACGATTCACAACTTTTCTACAGTAGGAGGTGCAGTACATGGCTTCCTGAAGGTTGGTCGTCACGAAGGCATTGAAGTGGAGTACATCAAGCTAAGTGGACCGTGGAACCTGTGCAGTATGTCCACCATCAAGAGTCCTTCTGTCACTTCTGTCAGCCCAGCAAGTTGCAAGACCCAGCCGAGGAGACGGCCGTGGGTCCAACCACTGGTTCAACATGTCCACTGTATCCAGCCAGTGGAAATACCTGGGGCAGTTTTCAAACAGCTTGGCAAAAGTATTGGTGGCTTCATTGGTGGGGGTCCTTTCTAGTTTGTTCGATGCCTTTTGTTGAAGTCCAAGCAGGCTCATACACGCAGTTCTTGCCAAGCATGCCCAGCCGGACTGAGGTCTCGATAAGCTGTTGTGAAAGGCGTAGTTCTTCTAGGAGGCATCTCTCACGCCGGGATCGTCAGGTGTTCAGGTGGTATTCAGGCTGTGCCAGGTTGTGGAATTCTGAAATACAAGGAACACAAGCTTCTTGCAAACCTTGATGTCCCCGCTGCTTAGAAAAGAGGTCCTTGACTAATTATCATCAATGGTGCGATGTATTGCAGCTTTTTTGCAGGTTCCACACGCAGGATTTCAGCCTGAGTACAGATTTGTTTTGCCCTGATAGCAAATCGAATCTACTGTATATGGTACACTCTACCACGGACCACGGAAACATGTAAACCTAGAAGAATCATCAAATTGCCACCTCAAAGTTCGGCTGGACAAGAACGCCTTTACCCTTCTTCCTTGCAAGAATCTTTATCATCCCGGGTAGCCGGGCCCCTTGGCTTTGTCCTTGGCATCTCTTAGGCCCCAGCATCAAGCCGACGAGGCCCGGCACATAGTAGGGCCGGAACCGGTCCTCACAAGCCGCAAAAGAGCCGCCCAACACACGGTCTGAAGAGTGGTCAGTGACTCAGTGAGCAGTGACAGCCTTATAAACATGTCCAGTTGATGGCAACCTGGTAGGAGGCTATTGAGCTACTGGGATGATCCGTCCGGTTTGCTTCCAACAAAAATGACGCATCAACAATGACAAAATATGTATTCCTTTCCCTACAGCATCGAACGCTCGCGTCGCAACGGCATTCTGGTTGTGGTCGGCAGTCCGAAGCAAGACTATAGCTTGTAGCAGAGACATGATGTCTGGAGTTCGCTGAGTAGATCTCTAGGACAAACATTCTGATGGGGTCATACCGTCATGCCATTTGGTTGTCATTCCTCTCTTATAGTCAGCAGATGATTCTCTCCCAACGAATACAAAGTAGTGAGCTTGGATAAATCCAATGTGGGTAGCTTGTTGCACAATTCTATACAACAGTCCACGGGAGAGGTCAGAAGAGGGCATGCTCCGAGTGGGGGAAGAACTTTGCTCAACTGCCCGATGCTTGGTCCTCCACAAAATGTCTGTACCTGCTGGCATTGCATGTGCATGGAGTCAATTCACATGCAAGCTTCCCAGGAAGTTCCCCACTGGGAGGGCAAGTTCATCTTGCCGTCTTAGACTAGAGTCCGTTTGCAAAAACGGCAATGGCATTTCGGTTCGCCTCTCTGACACAGCCACTGGCCGGGACCGTTCCAAAGAAAAAGCTGAACAACTCGCCAAGGAAGTGGCTTTGCCCATCCCAAGAACGTCTCTTTAGTCTGGCAGTCCAAACAAAACACTCTAGTACGATATATTTTCTGCGCGAAGGAATTTCATGAGTCTGCGGCAAATTAGCGAATCAATTCATTTCTGCAACCATGCGTGCTTGAGTGGGGACTTTTCTGTCAGAATGACGACACAACCATCAAAACAATCTGTCAAAGCGCACATCCTCTCAATCCAGTGCTTGTAGAAATAGATGCTGCTGGCCAAAAAAGACAACTCCTGAAGGGATTCTTTCGCCAGCTGATGAAACGAACAAATGTCCAAAGGACACAAGAAAAATCAAAAACATGTGTGAGCGTACCTTTACTCTTGCCAAATAGGCAGTCATGCAATGAACCAGCTGCTGTAACCAGCTCTCGTTCAAACCGGGGACAGGCTTAATGTGTCTTCACAGGAGTCAGAAGTCATACTGGTCTTACCGGAACAGGGCGAGTGACTGAAGCGAATACAAGCAACAACATCATGCCTCAGTCTATTCTGGTTGTTCAGTAGTTTTCCAAGGAAGTCGTTTAACATGAATCCCTTGACCTGCCACCTACCACACCTTACACACTCGCAAATTGGCATGTCTTTCTATTGCCACGCTCGCACTCGGTCCTGTCGGATACACCCAATGGCTAAAAATGGCAGGATTCGTCGCGGCAAGCAAATGTGCAATGTAGTAGATACACCATCCTGCCATCCATGGTTTCTTCAGCCCAGTTCTGACTGTGCTTCCGGTCAAGGCTGTACCATTATCTTATTTATTATATAGGGTTATATATATACATTTATAATATTATACGCTGGCAAGGATAATCCCAATCACATCAGTGGTGCTTTCTTGTGGGATCAAGAGACTTCTCGATCCGCAGGTTCAATCAGGGTTGCTCTTACAACTTGAATTAGTTAAGTTCAACAACAGCCTCCGTTCGAGCCTGTCGTAGCATAGAAAGTCACTCTGAAGTGCGGCGCCAAGTTGCGAATGCCATCGAACCTGGCTCCAGACACGTCCCGTATAATCCGGCAGATCACTGACATGCACGAGGCTCCCCTCAGTGAACTTCGAGCATGTGATCTCGAATTTCCGGGTATTAAATTGAGGCGTGACCTCAATCATAATCAAAGCGAAATCATTGCTCTGCACGTGACCTGCATACGTGTCCAACTTTGAGAACTCTGATTGTAGGGGCAAAGGTAGACTTCATGTGGCTTCATGGCTCCCCACGGTTCTGTCATGGCTCCCAGTATTGGTATCCCCCTCAAATATCCGAGCCCAAGTTCCATACTTGTCCAATGGCCGGGCACCTGGTGGCATACACCACGGAGTAGATCAACGCGGCAGCGTAGCATTCAATGTCGGAGGGTGGTTGGCCCAAGCAAAACCTGCAAATGTTGAGCGCGGTTCAGGGTAGCTTTGCTCATTCATCCTTTTTGAAACTCGGTCATGTGATCTCTAACACATATTACGTAAGCTTCTGAACGTGAGCTTGCCTGGTCATCTCAAGATGCTTCAGGTACTGTACTCAAACGTACTCAGCCTCACCAGTTCGAAGAGGAAGAGCACCCCCGAGGCACCGCAGGAGAAGCCATGCAGGTTCGGCCTTTGCTGAGGGACAGGTGTTCAATGATGTTCAATGTCTCCCAGTCCACCAACACCAGCTGGTTATAAGGTGTTGCACAAGCAGCAGAATTCCCCTGGCAACAGGCCGATTGGTAGGCATCTTCTAGCTTGTCCCACAACATTGACTCACCGACCCCATCCACGCTTGATTCTTTGTGTGTTTCTAACAACAAAGCTTCCCATGAGCAAACCAGGGTTCCCGGCCAATCAAGCTCCTGCAAGGTCAAGCCGCCTGTGGCATCCTCCATGGGACGCTGGGACCTGGGCCCATGGAAGCTCGCGCAGGCCTACTTGACCCTCGTCTGCAAATTGAAGAAGTGACTCTCCGAAGTGGCTATGCCAAAAATGATCCTTTCCCATTTCAACTTGTTTCTTTGAACAAGAATGTCACGATCTAACTTTTTCAGGTTTCAGGGCAGAGTGCTCCTTGTTTCTGTCCCCATCCAACATGCAAGGTTCGTGGCCAGTGGGGAGTGTCCACATCGCGGCCAGCCACACCTGGCCGTCGTGGGCCAGCGCATCGAAGAATCATCCGCTGTCCACGCACTGTCCAGTTGTTTTTCGTTGCCAATTCAGGTTTTGGCATTCAGAATACCAACTTTTTGACCTGTGCCAATGTTCCAATTGGAAGTGCTCTGAGGGTCATTCAGCCACGTCAGATTTTGAGAACTGCCCAGTGGCATGTGAGCCGTTCCCGGCTCGACTTGGATGTTTTGTTCCCTACTACCCTACAAAGACATTACAAAGTCCTTCCCACATTGGTAGTCGGGCACAAGAACCCTGTCTGGCTTTCTTATCTTTATTGTTCAGGAGAAGTGGAAGAATCGATTAGGTCATAGGTTGAGATACATTGAGAGGTCGTTCTTCTGCCCTTGCAATGGCCACTTGGGGCTAAGAGGAGATATCCCAATGAAGAAAGAGAGCAGACTAGAGGTAGGTCAAGGCGAATTCACCAGGTGACTGCTGAAAGTGCGCAGAAATATCATCGATGCCACTCTTTGGTTCACCACGGAGTGAGCACTAAGGCCCTGACCAATGTCTTGGATCTCCTAGAGAAAGGGTAGGCATAGGTTGGATGCTAAGACGACTGTTCTTGGAACAGCCTTTTTCATGTCTTAGAACAAATGTACAGGAGTATCTGGCAGGTCGATGTCAAAGCGTCCGACGCTAGAGAGCAAAAGGAAAGTCAGGCCCACCACTGCAACACCTCAGGGTATTAGTAGTCAAGAATTGTGAAAGGTGCAAACAAATTACACCACCGTAGACCCCAAACAGTTAAACTAGAGCTTGCGACGTCCAGAGCTGGGAGACAAATGTAAAGGATTGCAAGGCAGAGACGGACACATCAGTACAGAGCGGGCGGACACATCTTAAGAAAGAATTCAGAAGCCCTAACAGTAAACCTTTTGGGGAACTATTCTTCAAGTGCGAACATGATGCTGGTCATGCTGCTCAATCAGCGGGCAGCTGACCACGTGAGGACAAGAAATAAGAGCATGAGGATGATTTTTGGTGCCTGACGTATGCCCTCCGCCCCAACTGAACAGAGAGATCGCTGCCACGCCGCCGACATCCAATCCGGTCATTCATCCAACGCTTGCCCGAAAACGAAAACAAAGCTGAGAGAGTTACACAGTGTGGCAGCAACGCAATCCCGGAGACAGTCACGCACCCCTTTCAAAGGAGCAAGAACCTTTCACACGCGAACCTGTTCCAGCGGACAGGGCAGAAAACAGCAGTGCAGGCACCAAACCTGAAAGACAAAAA